TGAGAGGGAGAGAAGAGATGGTGAACTGAGAAGAGGAAGAAGAAGAACTCTTTCTCTCTCTCTGTTACGAACCAAGTACTAACCTGTGATGTTGGCGCTGTGCTGCAGGTACCTCAAAGACGAAGCTGGAGCAACGGCGCTGCAGGTAGGTACCTCTGGCCTCCGCCCAAGCTCTCTCTCTCTCCCTCTAGTACTACCTAGCTATGGCGCCCAGCGCTGGAGACTACAGCTACCTACTGCGCCCAACGCTGAAGACTACTAGCTAACGCTACCACTACTACAACGCAGTGCTCCCTCCAGAGTGATGCACCCGAATCCTGAAGACTACAACTACCAACTGCCTACCTCGGAAGTGCCTGGGAAGTTCTATGTACTACCTCGGCCTGCCTCCTGACTACTGGAGGGCAGTCAGGCCGAGGAGGCAGCTCTTGCCAATGCCGAAATGTGCAAGGGGCTGGCGTGCAGCAGCCTGCTTGAGGCTGGCGTGGGAAACAAACTAATAATAGTCTGTTTCCGAAACCCTGGTTCGGTGCCTGAGTTTCAGGGCTGGTCGTTCTGATGAACGACCGAAAATGGCCCTTCGTTTCAGGCTAAAAAGGCTGTTGCCATTTTTAGTCTGAAACGTCGAGGGATAGGCCCTGGACTTCAGGTTTTTTGGCCTGAACCGACAGAGGGCCTATAAGCCCTGGATTTCAGGCTTTCAGCCTGAAATTCAGGCTTTCGGCCTGAAGTTCAGGCTTTTGGCCTGAACGCTGTCGGGCCTGCAAAATGGCCCGTGTGTGCACGCGCTGCATGTAACACCCCCCCCTCCTTATGAAGTCAAGCCGGGGCGAGGGCGAAGCCGTCGATCTGAAGGTGGAACCTGGACGAGGGCGTGGCGTGAAGCCGAAGAAACCGGCTTGCCCTGCATCTTGCGTTCGTAGCGTGCGAGAACGTCTGGAGCTGTCGCTTGCAGTTCCGCACGGGTTAACCAACGGTCAGCTCGATGTGTGCAGTAGGCAAAATGCACCAAATACTCAGGTGGCTTGTTGCCAAAACGTCGCTCGGAGATGATGTCGCCGACCTCCTGAAAACCATCCATAGAAGGTGGGTCTTGCGTCCGTCTCCCGGGAAAGTCGTCATGATCCGCTGGCGTGTAGAGAGCCAATTTGGAGCAATGAAAGACTAGGTAGACAGGCACGTCGCTAGGCACCTGAATCATGAAGGAGGGTCCTTCGGGTGCGTCCCCAGCGGGCTCTATGATCGGCCAAGGCCCCATCCATTTCGGGAGGAGCTTGCGAGAGACGTCTTGTTCAAGGCTGAATTCCGCTGCTGAAACCCAGACGAGGTCTCCGGCGCGGAATGGACAAGGAAGATGCTGGCGATTTGCCTGTTGGTGCGTCTTAGCCATCTGGTCGCGTGCCTTGACAAGAAGCTCTTGCATCCGACGCAAGAAAAGAAGATGGTCGTCGCTCTCGGCCGTGCGTGGAGTAATCGTGTCCAACGGTGACGTGACCGGTGAGCCGTGCTCGAACTCGAAGGGCGATATCCCAATAGCCGGGTGGATGGAAGAGTTATAGGCCAACTCAACGTCCGACAGTCGCTCAACCCAGTCTTTCTGGTCGGGGCGGATGAGAGTGCGAAGGAGAACCTGTGCGGTCTGATGCGCCCTCTCCGTTTGGCCATCGGTCTGAGGGTGGCGAGCTGAACTGGGCTTGAGAGATGAGCCCCATCGCTTGATGAGCGCGAAGCAAAAATCGGACATGAACCGAGTGTCGCGGTCGCACACGATCTCCTTGGGGTAACCCTTGGTGCGAATCCAACCGGCGTCTAGAACCTCGACCAACTCCGGTGCCTTGGCATGATAGCGACAAGGCAAAAATATGGCGAACTTGGTGAGTCGGTCGACCACCGTGAGAATCCCATCCACTCTGGTCTTGTGCTTGGGGAACGGGCCGGTGATGTCCATGGCAATCGCTTCCCTTCGCCTCAACGGGACTGGCAATGGTCGTAGCTCGCCGTAGGGACGATGGTTGCGGGATTTGCAGCGTCGGCAAACCTCGCATGACTTGCAATAGCGCGTGACGTCGCCGAGAAGGCCGGGCCACCAAAATCGCTGGCGAAGTCGGCCAATCGTGCGATTGACTCCAAAATGTCCGGTGGCGGGAGCGTCGTGGAACTCGCCAAGAAGCCGTGTACGCAAATGAGGATCACTTGGTACGCAAAGAAGGTCCTTCCCCCGCGTGTGGACAAGCAAGTACCCCTCCTGGTACCGGTAGTGAGAAGGGGCCGGATTAGGCCAGGAGCAATTCGCGTACTTGTCGCGAAACTCGAGGTCGGCTTGGTAGCCGCGGATGAAGCTGTTCCGCAGGTCGTCGTCAATCTCGAAGGTCGAGTAGACTGCGGCACAATGATCCGGATGCCGTGAGAGAGCATCCGCAAAACGGTTCGACTTCCCGGGAATGTGATCGGGAAAGAAGTCGAAGTGGTCGATGAAAGCCATCCATCGAGCGATGGTGCTGTTGACGGTGTCTTGGGTCTTGTAGAAGACCAACGGATTGTTGTCTGTTACCCATCGAAATTGGCTTCGACCAAGGAGGAAGTGTCGCCACCGCTTGAGCGCGTGGACGAAGGCGAGGAGCTCCTTCTTGCGTGCATCGTCAATGGAATGCACGAGTGGCACTTTCTTGCTGAAGTACTCGACCGGGTGCCAGTCCACACCATCATGTTGCTCGAGGACTGCACCAATGCCATAGCCTGATGCATCCGTAGTGACACGTGTAGGCGCGAGCGGGTCGTATATCCACAAGACCTCCGCAGACAATAGCGCGACTTTGAGAGTGAGGAATGATCCCCGCGCCTCCTCTCCAAAGTCAAACGGCCGATCCTCGCACTGAAGCTTGTTCAAGTGGCCCGCGATCTTGGAGTAGCCTTTGATGAAGCGCTGATAGTAGCCGGTAAGACCGAGGAACGAGCGGACATCCGTGACGTTCCGAGGCTCCGGCCACTCTTGGACGGCCTGAATCTTGTCCGATAGCGGACTGATGCCCTCCGGTGTGACAAAATGGCCCAAGTATTCCAGCTCTTGCCGGACAAATTTGCACTTGTCGCGGTTGGCCTTGTACTTGGCACGGCGGAGCGTCTCCAACACTCGTCGAAGATGTCCAAGATGATCCTCCAATGTCCGGCTGTAGACGAGAATATCGTCTAAGTAGACCATCACGAACCGGTCCAACATTGCACGGAACTCATTGGTCATCGCCGCCTGGAATGTCGTCGGGGTGTTGGTGAGGCCAAAAGGCATGGCCACCCACTCAAAATGCCCGTACCGCGTCTTGAATGCGGTTTTGTAGCGATCATTTGGCTGAATCGAGATTTGATGGTATCCTGATTTCAAATCCAACTTGGAAAAATACTTCGCACCGCCCAGCCGCTCGAGAAGATCGTCGACGCGAGGAAGAGGCCCCGCATTCTTGACGGTTTGCGCGTTGAGCTTGCGGTAGTCGATGCACAATCGTAGATCCTTGTTCTTCTTCCTGACGAAGAGAACTGGTGCTCCATATGGGGAGCTACTCGGGCGGATCCAGCCCTTGGCCAACAAATCRTCGAGYTGTGCGCGGAGTACCTCAAGCTCCTCCTCGCTCATCCGATAGATGCAACCTTTCGGCGGCACGACACCGACCTCAAGAATGATCTCGTGAGAGATTGGCCGACCCTGCACCACACCGGTAGGTGACTCGAAGATGTCGGCGAACTCGTCCAGCAACCGTACCACACCAGGGTCCGAAGACAAGTCCGTGGGTGAAGAGTCGGCTACCGAGACGGTCCGTGGGAAACATATGTCGATCTCCTCGGGCTGCTCGTAAGCACAAGTCGCCCGGAATGATTTGGCCGTCACCACTTGGCACYGGATCGAAGAGTGCGGTAGAGGAATCGTACACGCTACTTCCGCGCCGAAGGCGTCGCGAACGCTAAGAGTCCGCTGATGGAAGTTGACCGTGTGATCCGCACTTGCGAGCCAAGGCATTCCCAGAATGATGTCGAAGTCCGTGTCGAGAATATCGAATGTTACCGGTTCGCATGCATGAGGTGCGAAGTAGACCGTTACGGCCTCGATGTAACGGTCGAGAAGTTGCTGCGTCTTACCATCCGCCAACTTGATCGCCGTCGGGTTTGCCTT